AGAAAGCAGACTCACACCCACACAGATTATGAGACACGACCACGGACCAGAAGCTGTACCGCAGCTATATCACTACTCACTTCAAACCCCTCCGGCCCATAAATGAAGCGAATGGACGTCCACCATGAAGATGTGGCACAACCACGAACGTGAAGCCAAACAACAGGAGCACAGCTCACCAGCTCAAATCCCCCGGCAACTAAGACTAACCTGAGCACAACCAAGGCCCCACCTGAACAGAACACACCCCCAGCCAATCAGAACAGAGCCAACCCCCCAACCAATGAGAACACACCCCCACAGCCAAGCCCCCACCCAATCAAGTCACACCCCCATTAGCAGTTAAAAGGAAGAAGCAGCTGCAAGCTCACATTACTCTGAGAAGCACAAAGCCGAAGACACAAGCCTGAAGATGACGAATGAGATTTCATAGAAATGTCTCCAGAATACTTCCAATTTTACGCGGGAGAAAACCCCAATAACCAAAGATCCATATGTATGTATGTATGTATATACACACACATACATTTTGTGTGTGTGTGTGTGTGTGTGTGTGTGTGTGTGTGTGTGTGTGACTGGTAACTGGTGTATTAACCAAAGATGGGCAAAAATCCAGCCAAGCATCCATAAAGAGTCCTGAGTCAGAAACAATTATTTCAGGAGTACAACCATGTCTAAACTTAACTACTTTAATGTTTACTAATGTTTACATATGAATAGCGATTTCATCTTGGTAGGATTTAATCTGATTTTAATGAGATCTGCCCCCATCCCCAGCTAGACACTTTCAACCTCCAGGCACTGCTTCAGGACTTTTATGGTGTCTCCAGATTGGCCCACAATACCAAATGGGTTATTATCACTTTATTTATGACACATCATCTTGAACTGATGGTTGACCTCCCTCGCAAGTTTCATGTAGATGTTAAATAACATAGTGTCCCAAGGGCTAGAACATTTCACTTCTCATCCAAGAAGCTTCTTCAGCTCTGACAGGATTGTGGGGAATGGAAGGATTTATATTTCTTGCTGACAGTTGGTCATTTGCATCCTTTTAGAGGGTGGTTGAAAGCACTTGGAGGTTTATGTGTGTCCTCAGGTCATCTGAGTAGGGCTCCTGATTTCTGTAGTCCTTCCAATCCCCACTATCCTATCAGAGCTGAAGAAGCTTCTTGGATGAGAAGTGAAACGTCTTCAAAGAAAATACAAGGAAGTCCAGTTGCTTCCTGAAAAAGCACCTTTGGGACAACCATGACCTGCATGACTGAGAATCTCTATAGATACTTAGGTAACAAGGTAGCCACCACCAAATGTGCCCCAAACTGCTGTTTCTTAAAGGCAGTTCAGAAGGTTATCGTGGTTGATGGTACTGAAGGCCACCAAGAGGTTTATAGATGGTTGTATGCGCTATTCCAAAGAAGCATTGAATATCTCTCGGATACAGACATACACACTCCACCTGGCCATCCAGAGGAATGCATGGATCAAGACTGCACATGGCAGAATCACATTCTAGAAACAAAACATTCTGGATTATTATTATTATGTTCTCCACTATGGCCTTTGTCCACTATAGATTTTGTCCAGCACAATTATTGGTATATATTACTTTGGCATGTATAGAATTACTCTGTCCCGCCCATCCTTCCCTAAAAAGATCTTTTTTATTCAGAACAGACTACTAGATGAGAATCTCTGGATATAATAAGCATAGGGGGTGGAATTGTGTTACCCATATTGCCATTGTGAAACCTGAAACCTGAGCTTATACTTAGTCATAACTACATATATTCCTCAATTTACAACAGTTTTAGTGACTGTGCAAAGTTACAACAGCACTGAAAAATGTGGCTTATTATGATCATTTTTCAGTAACAACCTTTGCAGCATCCCCATGATCATGTGATCAAAATTCGGATGTTTGCTAATTGGTTCATATTTATGACTTGCTGTGTCCCAAGGTCATGTGATCACCTTTTGCAACCTTCTCTCAAGCAAAGTCAATGGGAAAGTCAGGGTCATTTAACCACTGGGTTACTAATTTATCAGCTGCAGTGATTCATTTAACTGTGGTAGGAAAAGTTGTAAAATGGAAGAAAACTCACTTAACAACAGCAATTTTGGGCTCAATTGTGGTCGCAATTGGAGACTACCTGTATTTTTGTTTTGTTTTGTTTTCTGCAGTGGGGAGGTGAGGAAGGAGGAACCATTGCTGCAGCTATCTTTTCAGTTGTTTCATTTTTCTGTGTATCTAACTAAATGAAGGAATTGACCGGAATAGATGACTTTGCAGAGGCTGCACTGGAGCAATCTCCTCTAGTACTTTGCTTGTCCGTTTTTCACTGATCTACTGTGTCCATAATGTTATTGCTTGTCAAATTGCCACGAAAATCCTCTAAACCCTTCTGGAATCCTTGATCTGTTAGTTGCCTGGCAAGACAGTCCTAACAATTTTGGCATCCTTATAAGGATCCACAGCATCTATGAGCTGCAGTTTGATGAGAAAGTGATCTAATTATGACAAAGGACAATGACCTCCATCTTCAAATTGCATATCATCTGTTCTGAAGTAGATACGGTTAAATATATTATCTTATATTGACACAATTATTTATGATAAATCCCTATCATGTTAGAGTATAATATGGAAAGAAAATACAGTAAGATCTGGCTAGAATGAATTCATATTTATGAAACAGACTGTATCTCACTTCATGCTCATATGTGGTGAAGAAGAAGAAACAGGATTTACTAATTTAAATAACAAAGGTCTATTTTAAAGATGAATTGAGTGTGATACAAACTTTTAACACAATTCCAAAATTAAAAGAAAATATTTGGTATTGTCTTTCTAATGCCCTTATTCCTATACATATTGATTCTACACCTGCACAGAATCTCCTTGGGAATGATAAAATTAGACTATGTTCTGGCAGTGCCCCTGGCCAACTGTCTCTGCATATGTTTCCTACCTCGTAAAAGTGGCAAAATGTATGTGACTTTCCATCCTTGTTGACTTCAAAAAAAAGCTAACCAGAGGCTTTTTTTAAGGTTGCCAAACCTGTCATGGACAAGAAGCCAGGGGAATATTTATAGGGTTGCTCTGGGAATGCTCTTGGCATCTATTGGAGAAGGTAGAACTGCATAGGTCCTATGGAGTTGCCTGAGCATAGTCTTAACTGATTGATTACCTGGGAAGAGTTTGAACCTGTTAGCCTGATGATATGAACAAGATCCTCAGAGGTATTAATTTGGCTGTGTTTTAAATCTATGTCTCTCATGACTGGTTAAGGCCTTCTGGGATGTGGTTGGCTCCATCTGGTGGTAATGCTTCTTTAAGAGATGAGGTGGTTCTGCTGATCTTGAAAGCAGTGTGCCTTTTTCTCAAGAAACCCATGCTGGACCCAAAGGAACTGGACAAATTTAATCCAATATCCAACTTTATCTTTTCAGAGAATGCAATTGCATTGCAGCTCAGGATGAAAGAAGGAAATTATATTTTTACTCAGGATTCAGACTTGTGGAAGCACTGGAATAGTATTGAATGTGCCTATTAATCGCCTCTGATAGGCCATGAATTTTCCTGGCCTTTATTGATTTCTCAACAGTGTTCAGTGCTATCAACTATGGTTTCCTTCAGGAACAGCCCAGGAGGTTTGGATTAGGGAGGCACCATGATGGTGTGGTTCTACTTTTTCCAGGGCTAGTTCCAGTCAATGCTGATGTAGAAAGGTAAAGACTGAGGTTCCTGCTTTGTGGCGTTCCTTCATGTTCCAATCTCTCTATTCCTATTTAATATCTACATGAAATCACTTACTGAGGTCACCCATCAACATGTGGTAAGGCTTCATCAGAATGTTGATGATATCCAACTATACTTTTCTGCCATGGATTGATAAGTGATGCTGGAGTTCTTTCACAGTGTCTGGAAGCTTTGGAGTCTTGATGTGGAAGAACAGGTTTCACTTCTGATCTGAAGTCTTCTAGCAAAACCAAGTAGCTATGGGTATTGGAGCTATTAGATCAAAATATTTTCATTCTGAAAGGGGTAGCACTCCCACAGACGGAGCTAGTGAACAGTTTGGAAATCCTCTTGCACTCTGATTCCTTTTCAAAAAGCATGTGGCAGATGAGGCCCTTTGGATAATTCATCTCCTTACCAATTGAGCCCTTTTCTGGATTGGGAGGCCCTATCACAGAAACTAGATCTACCTACTGTTCAGATTACTGTCATGCACTCTACATGGAACTACTACTTTTCAAGAGCATTCAATATTGGACCAGAATGTGTAAAATACGGTGACATGGGCATTTAGGAAACACTTAGGTGTTTCAGGTTGCACAATACTGCTGCAGTGTAAATGCACTGGCTTTCAAGAAGTTTCAAGATACAATTCAAGAACTAGTCCCGTTTCGTCACTTCCCTTTTTTCCAAAAATACTGAAAAATGGCTAGTTTTTGGCCTGCAAAGCCTGCATAAGCCTTTCTCAAGCCTCTGGGAGGCCGAAAAAGGCCTCAAACCAGCCAAAAATCAGCTGTGAGGTGCAGTGTAGGTAAGGGGGTGGTGGGATTGCATGCGCAGGGGGCATGGGGGTGGGGGGCATGCATTGTCTTCTGGGTGCTGGCAAACAATTTTTGGCACAGGAGCCCAAAAAGGTTAGCCACCACTGGCCTAGAGCCACTGTTGTGAGATAGTTAGCTATATAAAATCTGTTTAAATAATAAATTTCAAATACATTGAGAATTCTTGAATTAGGAATATTACAATAAGTGGTTTGAATCTGATTTTACAAATGTTATATTTTTAGGTCAGTCTAAAAATGACTATTTAAACTGGTTGAATTTTCTATAAGTCTGCCATTTTGTCATCATCTGAATAAAATCTGGCTCCATGCTCATTAGCCATGTATGCACACATTTTGAAATAAACAATTTTATCTCTCTGAAATTACATTTACATAATAATTACTAATTTTTAAAGATACTTTATTTTCTCCTAGGAATCCAGAGATGTGGAGGGCTGTGATTGGTTTGCATCATCTTTTCAGACATAAAACATACACTATAAAAAGACGCGTAAAAGCCATTGATATCCATTTTTTCTATAACTCAGCAAGATATGAAGAAGATATTGCTATGTTTCATCTAAGCAAATCTATCACATTTAATAACTATGTTCAGCCCGCCTGCTTGCCTAATGTTACTCTTGCCTTGACTTCTGATATGAAATGTTTTATAAGTGGGTGGGGAATGAAAAAAGAAAAAGGTAAGTGTTTTACTTTTGCTTTAAAGTAACCTGTTAAAAGTGAAAATGAGTTTAGTGATATCAGAATGTTTATTTGTACTTTTTCTAGAGTCTCAACATCTTTTTTATAATGTGGTGAACAAAACTGGATGCAGTACTCTAGGTGTGGTCTTACTAAGGCTTTATAGAGTGGTATTAGTACTTCCCTTGATCTTGATTGTATCCCTCTGTTAATACAATTTAGGATTGCATTAGCTTTTTTGGCTGCTGCTGCACACTGCTGGCTCATATTTAGCTAGTTGTCCAGTAAGACTGCAGGATTCCTCTCACAGTTACTGCTATTGAGCCTGGTTTTACCCAGTCTGTATGTGTACTTTTGGTTTTTCTTGCCTAAGTGTAGGACTTTACTTTTCTCATGTTTTATTTTCTTTAATAATAAATACATGGAAACAGAGTGTTGGTAAAGAACCAACGATGATAATAATCAATGGTTCCCTATCACAATGACATACAGTACTAAAGAGGATAATATAAGGTTGTCTCCCTCCTCTCCCATAGTTTTACTGACACTGGAGTCACTGGCACTGAAAATATGTTAAGAAAATAAAATTTGAGATGTTAAAATACCAAGATTTTATTGTATTCTAAACATAAATTGAAATTAAACGTTGATGATATTGCACTCAGAGTTACCTAGTAAAGGGATTCTTATTAAAACGGACTTGTTCTGTCTTTTAATTGCTGATAGAATATAAAGACAGACAGACAAACTCTACAAAGGCTTCCATACAAAGTTTCTTTATTGGACCACAAGGTATTCCCAAGCTGTAACTCATGGTTATGTCGAGATTCATCTAATGTCCAACTCTTTGCACAACTGACTTCATAGTGTAAAGTTATAGTGATCTTTCATCCCATAACGATGGAGCAGAGAGGGTGAAACACCAGCACGATGCTGGGGTCCGAGCAAGAGTAAAGGAAACTCCCCCAACCAAGCAAGGGTCAATTCAGTGACCAATCAGGATTACAGATGTGACCACATGACATGAACTGCATTTCCCATGAGGCATTCCTTTAAGGGGACAGCTCCCAATTCCTATTTAACTATCCCAATTCCCAATTAATTATATACTGTCTGGACAGCACAGGACTATATACAGCAATATGATTTTTTTTAGATTATCGGATCAGTTAAAAGAAAATTCAGATTCTGATATGTAACTTAAGAAGAAAAAAGACATGTCCATCTAATTATGTGCTATACTACCTGAAAAATTGTTAAATAGGAATTTAGTTGTAGTAATAAGATCTGTTCTGGAAATATGTAACAATAGATGTTTCAAGATGGAGAATATTGTTCTTGTTAGAATTGTAGCTATTAAAATTAATATTTTACTGACACTTCTGTTCTCAATGATTCCAGTAATTTTTTTTTAAAGGTATCAATTATAAATGTGGGCATTGGTCACAAAAATACTTCAGCAGCACTATGAACAATTGCTATCCAAGTCAGTTGCTAAATGAGGACTACCCGTAGTAATAGATATGCAATGGACATTTCATTGGATGAATACATTTATATCAAATATACTTAAGGAAAACTGGTATTTTTTATTATGTATTTATTTATTGGATTTATATTGCTGCCTATTTGCCCATGGCAACTCATATTACCCCAGACCTGTTTGCTAACTAAGCCTAATATTTCTTAATAGATATTATAACATCTTATAACATCTATTGAACTGGCTTTGCATGTGAGGGTACTTTACATCCCTTATTGAAAAGGATGCCTGATTCCCTCCATGGAATAATGTCTAAATTGATATCAGCAAGCCATGAATAGATGTATGTTTACATGTTTGTGAATCTATAGAGCTTGCAAAGACCCACCAGCAGGTAAGCAGTACTTGTACTTTCTGGTTAAAAACAAAAACAAAAGTTTGGGTAACTGTTAGCCAGACAGTGCTTTTTTGCTAACCATTAACAGCGCCTCATCCCATCCATCAGTCTATGCCTAAACATATGTTTATTCTATTTTCTCACAAAAGGAATAATAAATATATACATACATATTTTGCTTTCAAAATTCATAATACTAACTAGTGTGCTCTTCGCTTGGATTACTCAATCATGTATTTTTCTCTAATGAATTATCAGAAACTCGAAAGAACAAGCCAAAAATCTTTTCCAATAATAAGCCCAAGACAGTAATTGTTTCTGAAGTGGCAGTTTTGAAACCATTTTTTCCTCACCCGCAGATACAGTGCTACCAACACAAGAATATGTCAGAATTGCTCACCATTGCAAGTTCTTACTTGAATAATAGAATCAACAGATTCTATAAAGCTATGAATTTGTGTAACTGTCAAATTTGCACATTTTTGTAGTTTCTAAATAACAAATGGTTCCTCAGTTGTTTGCTCTAGTTGTAACCCTATATATTATTATTAGATCTTGCATATGATCAACTTTCTGTGTATGTGTTACGGATTATTGTTCAACATGGATTTCTGAATTAAAAGCTACGCATTAGAAGATATAATGAGGCATATTCAAGAATAAATGATATTCTCCCAATGTTGCAGTTTTAATCTGCAGATAATAGCTGGCAAATAGAATTTGGCACATCTCTAAACATAAAAATTGTGGCAATATTAATATAGGTCCTCCCAATTGCATAGGATAATTGGACTGGCATGTTAACGTTAGATCAAGAACTGCCAATTCAGCATTTTTATAAAGCTCTTGTTGCACATTAGAAATAAATAAACTAAAAGCTATTATTTTCCTTACAGGCAAAGGCAGCCTCACATTGCAAGAAGCTCAGCTAAAAATATTTTCACTAGATACGTGCAATCAATATGACTGGCATGCAGGAACAATACCAGATACTGCTTTCTGTGCCGGATCTGAAACTGGAGATGTTGATACCTGTCAGGTAAATTGACATAGCTCTATTTCAAATCACATTCACTTAATATCAAGTTAGGTTTACTACATTAACAATTTACAGATGCACTACATCAAAGAAAATTAAAATTGATACAATTTTAGAATTTACATGTGGGATATTTGTGAATTGAGATAAAAGATCAATTACTTCTGCTTTTGCTATTTTAGAGTCCAGCCAAATAATGCTTTCATTCTAATATAATCAGTGAGATTTAAGTTAGTAATGACTAATTTACCCTATTGATTTCAATGCAAATAAACCAGAGGTAACTTATGAAAACAACGTAATAATGTCTCTTCTTCAGTGGACTGCTTCTTGCAAATTAAATCTGTAAGAAAAGCAAACTGTTCTCAGCCTAAACTGGGCTCTACAGTGGGGGCAGCATTTTCATACTTACTCAAGGATAGGAAGAATGCACATTAATGTGGCCATGAGGAAGACCCTGAATGTCACTGAAGATTTTGGGCTGCTGTATGTTCACTAGAAAACTAAATAAGAGGAGAGATAGCCTTGATGCATGCATGCTTTTAAATACTATGAGTCACTACTCATTGTTACCTTTTTCATTTTTCAGGGAGATAGTGGTGGACCTCTGGTATGCTATTTATCAGATTCTAAATACTACGTGGTAGGAATCACCAGCTATGGTATTGGCTGCGGCCGACCAAAATTTCCAGGAGTTTACACTAATTTGCCTAAGTACATGTTCTGGGTGAGGAGACAACTAAGCGAAGCCAACACTGTTAGCATTCAGCAGGTTCTTTTCTTGCTTGTGGTGTGGAATGTTTTCCAACTAATTGTATGAAGTGGCTTTTTGATGTGCTTTAAATACTACAATCTCATTATTTCTGAAAAAAATATTATTTAACTATAGTTTGTAATTTTAAGTTGCTCATCGATATATTAAAGCATGTATTTTCATTTGTAATAATCTCTATGAATGCTTTTTATTGTTGAAGCCTCTGTGTTTCTTTCTGCCCCATATTATATCAAACAAAATCAAAGTGGGGTTATTTTGAGTTTGTTTCTCTACTTCCCTCCAAATGAGTGAGTTGCTGCGTTCTTCTCCCTTAACAGTTCACTGCGCTCTTCCCAAGGCCAGATCTACTCTTCAGGAAAAATATCTGGAGGAAAACAATAGCAAGCCACTTCTGTACTGTTGTCAAGAGAGTTGTGGTGATAACTAGTAACTGATCTTGGTGTAAAAATACCTTTACATTGTTCTTCTCTCTCAAGCATAGTCTTCAGTTAAGTAATATGCACATTTATTCAGAATGTTTAATGGGTGTATTCAGTTGTCCAGAAGAGGGAATGAGAATGTGATGTCATGGTTAAGGTATCAGACTGGCACCTGGAGACGCAGGTTCCAGTTCACTCTGAGCCATAGTAGCTCAGTGGGTGAGTTTGAAGCCATCACTTACCCTCAGCCAAACCAAAGGTTGCTGTGCAGGGTTGTGATGAGGAGGAAAATGGGAGGAGGGAGCACTACCACATTGCATCAAGTTCCTGAATTAAAGACCAAATATAAATCTAAGCTATAAATACATTTATTTGTTTACCCTTCTTATATATGCATTAAGGTATCTGTCACGCTTCCTTTTCCTTCATAATATAGAAATGCGTCTTACATGAAGCAGACCCCTAGTCTGACAGAAGATTTCTCTGCACTTGATTGTCTGACACAAGAGTTGTCTGCTAACGGGCTTCAGTCGGGCCATAAATGAGGCAAAAATTAAACGTCTATCATGGATCCCTATAACTCGGTCTCTTTCCTCGTGTTTCTTTTCCAATTCCATTCCATAAGTCTTATTTCACCAATTTCATGCCTATTAAAAAGATACAAGAAGATAAACGGCGTATATAAATCGATTACTTCACGCGGATTAGAATCGCATCCCGACAATTGATAAATAACCGCAGGGAAGAGGATTAAAACCTCCCTTTCTCTTCCTCTAGTCCAAAACCCGGACATTTCGCGTGTCGGCGAAGCCCGTCCGAGGCTCCAACAAGCTGTTACGGGAGTGCGCGCGAACCACTTCCCTAAGCCTGGTTCAACCGCCTCGCCGGCTCCTTGCAGCCTCCGCTGCAGACGGTGAGCGAGAAGAGAGACCGCCATTTTTCTTCCTTGGGAGGATGATTAAGCGGAGTTTTCTCCTTGCTGTCATTTCCCCCTTTTCCCTGGCACTGTTCTGCGTGACCTCTTCCCTTGCGAAGGATGGAAGCGGTGAGGCGACCTTCTCCCGCCTTCGGTAGAGGGTTGGGTTGGCGGTTCGGCTTGTACTTCGGGGCGAGGCCAGCGAACGAGCCTGGGTACGGCGCCCGCAGGCCCTTTCAGGAGCCTTGGGAAGGTGTATAGGCGCCAAGCGCTCGCTGTCCGCTCCCGACTCCTTTACTTTGCGGCATCTCTGACTCGCAAACTCAAAAAGCTGACTGATTCATTTGAAGTATTAGCTGGAAAAAAAACCCCACAATCGTACAGGACTTTCAGTTGGGTCGTCCAAAAGGCCATAAGGCATTTGATGCAAAAGTTTTTCTCCTTAGAAAGTAGTGGTTCCAAATATAGAGAAACGGACATCCGTGAGAATTTGCGTTAGCGGATTTACTTCCATTTAACAGCATGGCAGATCTACCGCTCCTCTAGCTATCGAGATACAACTCGGTCCTAAGTCATCACTCATTCATCCAGGTTATGGATGAATACCTGAATGAATACCTTGTCCCAAAGGTACGTTTTCAGGAGGCAACTGGACTTCCTTGTTTTTTCTTTGAAGATGTTTCGCTTCTCATCCAAGAAGCTTCTTCAGCTCTGACAGGATAGTGGGGAATGGAAGGACTTTTAGCTATACAATTTGGGATGAACAGTTGAACATCCTTTGAATAGTTTGGGAGTAGGAATGGATTTCCAGAGAAAAAAATGGAACCAAGTGCACTACTCAGTTGACCTGAGGACACAGATAAACCTCCAAGTGCTTCAATGACCCTCTAAAAATGACCAGTTTCCTTTCCGCAAGGAATATAAATTCTTCCATTCGCCACTATCCTGTCAGACCTGAAGAAGCTTCTTGAATGGGAAGTGAAACATTGTCAAAGAAAAAACAAAGTCCATTTGCCTCCTGAAAAAGCACCTTTGGGACTTGGTCCTAAGAATATCTTTAGTCTGAAATCTGAGGGTGATTGGGTTAAAGGATTGGGTGCTTATGCCGTCAGCTTCTGTCTTTAGTGTCTAGATTGTTGGGCTTTCCCTTTTATTTGTTTTGTATTTATTAAATTTTGAAACCATTCATCTGCTTCAGAGAGGTTTTGTGGCTGTGAGGTTTACATGGGTAGTGCTTTGTAACTCAGCAGCTGCAGCATTGATCAGTTTTTTCTAGGGAAATAAGGAAGCACAATGATGAATCACTAGAGGTTGGACCCATGGCTCAGCCCCAACTGTTTGGAGAGTGACTCTGACATACCCATGGATAGCAAATTAGTGTCCATTAACTTCACAGCTATGTAGGAAGTTCTAGTAACTTTGTGGGAGATAATGTAAAAGGAAAGGAAAAGAGAAAAAAGAAGATGGACATCTGCTAAAATTGAAGGAGTTTCTAGAAGAGCCAGCAAACTCCAGAATAAGACAGTGCAAGAACACAGATAGGAAATATTTCTTCTCATACAAAGGAACTATAGAATTTTTTCCAGTGGTGCTTCCAGAATAAATGGGAGAATATCCACTATAGAATGCTCTAAGCTCTATTCTAAGAAAATTAGACATTAATGTGCTCACAATTGTTGCAAATTTAACAAAGAGAAGGAATAAAAGAAGGGTTGGTTTTAGACAAATATAAAGATGGCCATGTAGGACAAAATCAAAGCAATCCATATTAACACTAGTTATATTAGAGCAGCATTATAAAATATCACAAAATTATTGTTACTAGACAAATATTAGAAGGAGGGAAGGAAGGAAGGCTGAAAAAATCCTGAATAAATTCTGCATGGTCAGTGTTTAAAAATAATGTACAAGAAGATTATGGACTCTCAAATTACATTCTAATTTGAAATTGCATCCAGGATCTATTTAATGCTAACTGCAGTGTATTTTATGAACTACTTACAAATATTACATGTAATTAGTATTTGTGTTTTGATTTTTAGAATGTGGAACAAGGCCTGCTATGGATGAGACCGCATCAGGTAACCGGATTGTAGGAGGACGTGATGCTCCACCTGGAGCATGGCCATGGCAAGTTAGTCTTCAAGTTTACCGCTTTGGTGTAGGATACCATCATATTTGTGGTGGAGTAGTAATTAGTAACAACTCATTGCTGACAGCAGCACACTGCATTAGAAAATGGAAGTATGTATCTTTTAATTTTAAACAATTTTCAGTTAGTTTTAGATTAAAGAAAAGTGTGGTAAAATTGTTTGATTTGAAAATATTTCTGCATTTTTATGAATATTTTTCCTCCTGAATTGATTTATCAAGCAAAAATAGGACTATTAGGAATGTAGAGTTTTGGGGGGAGCAAGATGAAATATTCCACCTAGTAAAGTATACTAAATTAACAACTTAACAGGATTGACTGTGCAGAAAACAATGATGGACATGTATATATAGGCAATCTTTGACTTTATAACTTAAAAGGGTAGCTTATTTTCTCACATTTATTTATTTAAGGTCATGGAAATATGTATTAAATAAATTCCATGCCACTAAAATCAGATTTTTAGGTATGCCCATATCATAGGTCAGTACCATGCACAAGATTTATATAAAGCAACACTCAAAACCGAAGTCAAATTAAACTTCACAAGTTAACAGAAAATACCTATTGTATAAAATTATTATACAATAATTTTATTTAAAATGTAATTGAAGTAAAACTAATGCAAACTGAAAAAATAGGAGATTAAAAAGAGAGAGTAGAGGATGTAGAAAAAAATTGAAAGATATTTAGAAAGAAAAGAAAAAAATAAGAATATTGTGAAGAAAAATATATATATAAAGAAATTATTTCATCTTCCTCACAATTGTAAACAATGTTTATAACTTAGCATCTTCTCTTAAAATACAATAACTGATCTCTTCCTCCCATATCCCATCTCTTAACTAAATTGTTACAACCTTGTCATTTCAAGTCATTTCAGCAAATGTCCGCAAAAGTCCATCAAGAAATAACAAATATATGTATGATACAGCATATATCAATAAAACATCCTATTTTAAGCTTAGTCAAATAAACCAACTTTCCTTTACTTCTTCTGTTACTTTTAAAAGTCTTAATTTTTAGTTAATTTCTTTTCATTTCTTCTTTGTCTCTTCTCATAAAATTCTTCAAACCTTCAATAAGCCTCTTTTGTAAATTGTAAATTTTGTAAATAATGAAATTATTCCACTCAATCTCTTTTGTTTTTCTTATAAATATCCCTTTTAATTATTAATATATAAGCCAGCTTTTTATAGCCAATGTAAAATCTTATTCTATGTCATTCTTATAGTCTGTTAATTCTATTTCCACCTCAGTCTCAAACATGTCAGGTAATACTTGTTCATCTTCAATAGGATCTTTTTATCTAGAGGCAAACATACATAAAATTAACTTCTCGGTCCATTGATCAAAAAGATTTTTCAATATGACCAATTTTGCTTCGTTGTAAATCAAAATTGAATATTCTTTTCCTTTAATTGTAATTTTTAATTCCTTTTGGTTTCCAATTTTTAAATCTTATTTTAAAAAAAATCAAAAGAAAGGCATTTTCCCATGGAAAGAATTGTTTAAAATTCTTTAAAATTAATTCCCAAATCTCGTTTCAAATTCATCTGGCCCCTTAGTCCAATTGTATCTTTTTAAAAGCAAAGTGTTAATAACCAGTTGCAGTTTAATATTTAACTTAATCTTTCATTAAGGCCTGAAGAAAACTCCCAGTGCTTGAAAATCTATCAATATTCCTAATAGCTGAAAAGCCACTAACAAGCAATTTCTGAAAGTGAATAGAAAAGGAAATAGGCAAACTTAGTATTGTTTCAAAGGTGCTAATCATGGTTTGAACAAGATGGTTATTCACTGGTCTCTTGGAGCTCTAAACCCATTAGAGACTGCTATCTTGTGACCCTCCTGCAAGGAGCAGCTGCCTGGAGCACTTATGGGTGATCTTGTCCAGAGAGGAATTATTGCAGTCTACTTGATGATTCTTTATTCCTCTGCAATTGTCAGCTCTGCTTTTTACAGAACTGTCTTCAATGTACCATTTTTTCCCTGGAAGTCCCATAAAATGATCAAATCCGAATAGTTGTCATGTCTTTCATTGGCCCTTACCATTAAGGTTGTCATAATAAAAGAAATCATGCACTGGAGTTTAGCAATCTAACAGCAAAAATGCCACTAAGTGCTCATTAGATTCTAGATCAGGGGTGTCAAACTCAATGCCCACGGGCTGCATCTGGCCCACAGGGTGCTTAAATCCGGCCCATAGGACTGGCCTAGAAATATCAAGGGACTGGCCCGCTGTTCCTCTTGCGGCTAAAACGGGCCACGTGCAGCCCCCTTGCAGCTCATTTTCACCCTCCATGGCATCCTGCAGCACTCTGCCTGCCGACACTGGGCCCAAAACAGGCTGAAAAACAGGCCCAGAACAGGCCTAAAAACAGGCCCAAAATGGACTCAAAACAGGCCAAAACCAGGCCCCAAATATTTGTCTGAACCAGAGAATTGGAGGCTCACAGCAAGTGGTCTAACAGTAGCAAGGGAGAAAGCCCTCTCCTCCCTTCCTCCCTCCTCCTCTTCCTCCTCCTCCTCCTCCTGTTTTTTTGCTGCTTTCTTTCATTTTTAATAAGTTTTCAGCAAAAAAAAGGGGGAGAATGGATTTGCTTAATGACCACATAATTCTGTTAATGACTGCATAACTCACAACCATCACAAAAGTGGTTGTAAAACTGAACCAGTTACATGGTAATCCACTTAATGACCTCAATGACTAGAATTTTTGGTTCACTTGTTTAGTGAGAGCTATCTGTATTGTGAATTGAAAAATAAAATGTAGTTTTCTAGTCATTTGGTATGCAAAATCTGAGAGCTAATAGCAATAACATTTCTATCTTGTACAATTTAATAATGGTTGGGAGAATTGGGAAAGAGAATGACCAAATGTGGTATTTTTACAAATTCATCAAACACTTTCAATCAAAGTGTTTAATTAATTATCATTACTAGTAGAGACATTACTATCTACCAATCTGAGGATACCTCATATGCACTTTAGACAGACTTGCTTAATATAATGCAAATTTAAGAATGTAGCATTATTACAGTCAGTTTTTGATGAATCGCCAGTATAGATTTAAAGAAAATGTTGTACTGTCAAGTGTTTTGAGTAGACTTTTGGGAAAATGTTTTAATATAATTGTTTTATATTGGGGGATACTAGATCAACACTGCAGAAATCCAGACAAGCATTAAATGATAGAAAATATAAAAGTATTCTACAAAAACCTCTAATCAGATTTCCACAGTCTGGATCTGATACTTTAACTCTACCAACCATGAACTGATTGCACTTGTCTTATTTGAAACCAGATTGCACTTATGACTAAATCTTCTACAAGTTATATACTATAAAGGCAGGTTTCCTATCAATAATCAAATTTCTGATTCTACATAGGATTACTGATTCTGATTTTGGTCTGGTAAGAAGCTTAGTAGTTTTGGCCAGAACAGATGCCATGACAATTCTTAAATAGTACTGAAGTCATAATTTATAATAAACATTATCTACACAGTATATTATTTCCCCCCCCTCTCCTAGGAATCCAGAGTTTTGGAGAGCTGTACTTGGCTTACATCATCTTTATCATCATCAGTATTACACTAGAGAGAGACAAGTCAAAGCAATTATAATTCATTCTCATTTCAAGAAGGAAACGTATGAAAATGATATTGCATTATTCAAATTACAAAAACCTATCACATTTAATGATTATATCCAACCTATCTGCTTACTTCCAAGTCCTCTTTTTCTAGGTAATGATACTCTATGTTATATAACAGGATGGGGAAGTGCACATGAGAAAGGTATTTTTTTTAATTTCCCTGTAAATTTAATGTTGAGTACAGTCATAATTTCACTGAACTTGTAAAATCTTTCTATGTTACTTCCATTTATTCCATTAAGTGGAAAAAAGCCTGTGGTGGCCCTTACGATACACAGGCAATCATGGTGGGTGTGTGTGTGTTTGTATTCAACAGTTTGTGCTTATATTGCTTTTGTTCCATCAATTACTGAGCATTGTATGTAGCTATCACTTCAGTTTCTACAATTTCAATAAGCATTGCTCTTATTTTCATGACAATAAGCAATAAACAATGCTGATTTTTTTGAAAAATGAAAGTGAATATTTTTGTGAATTACTCTGTGTGTGTGTGTGTAAACTTGCTGTTAAGCAAAAATATTTTGACTGTGGAGTTGTACTTTGGTAATTTGCATATCTCAAATAAGAACATGAATCAAGAAATAATGATTAATGGAGAGGGAGAATCAGTTCAAAGATCAAGGACAAAGAACCATGAGTTGGTATACAATAGTTGCATCCATATAGATAAAATTGTTTGCCACTGTTATGAGAGAAAAGGATATTGACAAAATCATATAAACCTTGTCAGAGAAAAAACTGCATATAGTTTTTCATGTAACACATGACAAAAAAAATCACCTTTACTATCACATGCTTTCAATTAAAATATTCCACTCCCCACCCATCCTGTTTCATGAACTTTCTCAACCTTGCCAGATATATGCTGACATTCTACCAATCAGTCTGGAAACTTCTGATCTTGATATTCTAACCTCTGCTTTGTAAATAGCGTGCATATTCTTCCACACTGAGCAAAGTAGTACTTTGCTTCAGAAATTCATTAATGAAAAATCCACTGAACTCATTTGCATAGGATTAGTAAAGTAAATAAATAGGTTTATTGTTGTGACTGCAGGTCATAATAATGTATATTAGCAGAATATCATATATTTACTTCACACCGATCATGTAAGACTCAGCAAAATAAAAATTCTTCTTAATCTCTATAATGACACATTGTATAAAAATATATGCTTTCCCTCCCAAATACATTTACATCATTGTCGATAAATCTTTAAAACGAAATTCATTTTTTTCTTTAAAAACATGTCTGCTGTTCAGAAAGTAAACAGCTGTCAGGAGGCAGCAGTTTTACTTATTGAGTTATACTTTTTTTAAAAAAAGTATAAGTATACTTGTAGAATCATTTTTTATTTTTTCATTAAAGGTGGAAAAAAAAATATATTGCAAGAAGCACAGGTTGATATTATTCCACAAAATATCTGTAACAGATATGATTGGTATGGTGGAGTTGTAACAACGAATATGTTTTGTGCTGGCTCTGAAAATGGAGCTGTGGATAGCTGTCAGGTAAAACTGAATTTTTTTTTTCTTTTGCCATAAAATCCTGATTGGTACCATTTGACTAATCAAGCAAATAAATTTACAAATCTAGGAAATAAAATTAGTTGACACTTTTTGTGGGAAAACAGGGCATCACAATTTAGTTCAAGTAATATTTTTTACTTTGCTTAGAATATTTCGACCACTTTGTGTCCACACAAAACAATTTTGAAATAGATGTTGAAATTGGTTCATTTCAATATTGCATATGTAGTAATCATGAAACTTAGCAGAGGATGAATACTCTTATGTATTTCTAGGTATGTATCTTGAGTTTCAAAATAAGCATATTTATACTGGAACTGGAGTGCCCAAAATATCAGTGAAGAAATTTAATAATGTTAGTAATTTAAATTTAGTGATTTAGCAATCTTGCACCACTTACCCAAAAGGAAGCACCATTGAATTAAATGGGCTGAGTGCTAAGTTCACTTAGTAGCACTGCTCTCTAAATGACTCAAAAGATTGCCTAATTCAAACTTTTCATAGTTTCTTAGGAAAAAATATTTAACAATTCATGCCCAAATAGGTCCTCAGCAACTTAAAATGTAATTGTATTCTAAGCAACATTCAAATTAATTCCTTCATTTTTTAGGGCGACAGTGGCGGACCATTGATGTGTTATATCCGAGATGTCACACAATATTATCTGGTAGGAATAACCAGCTTTGGCCGTGGTTGTGGCCGACCACAAAATCCAGGGATCTATGTACGTCTAGTTAATTACAGTAATTGGTTGAAAACTCTTTTACAAAGCAGAACTACTACTATGAACATTCATAATGTTTTAATATTGTTGATAATAAGGTGGATAACATTCCATATTTCTCTATGAAAAAATGACATTATAAACATGTATACAGCAATTTTTAACAATATGAATATATTATGTTTAGCATACATTTTGTAATATTTCACCTAAGTAGCCTGAATAAATTGAAAATATGTATTTAAACTGTTATTTTAAAAAGGAAACAAAGAGTTTGTATTAGTTACATATAGCTGTCAGAGAAGACAGAGGAAAAGAGCCATTGTAGAGATGAGAAGAGGGGAGGAAAAAGCTATGAATTTCATTGTGACTATAAATTGGATTAAAATATAAGAATATTGTATTATATTAGTAAGACTGGTTTCTAGTGAAAACACTTTTCCCTCCAGAATGGAACTAATAATTTATAAAATTATCTTATTCCTTATAAATTCAAAAGAAATGCATATGACATGCCTAATGTTGCCATGTATTCACTGTCATTATAAAAATAATAAAACGTATTGCATTTGAACATAGATTGTATACTTGAAATTTCAGTGTACTATTTTACTTTCATTTCCAGCTGAGTAACTATCATATAGGAATTTGGGTGGACTAACATCATAATATTTTTTTTAAAGACCCACAAGTTTTAAATATCAGAAAATTGAAAATTGATGGCTCTTCTCAATCAGTCAATTGGACAGCATGTTTTTCTGCCTCTAAGCAGCAATTCATTAGAACAACTTCATTAGAAAAACTTGTATATTGAAGTAATAAGATTTTGCACATGACCTATACTGGTAATAAACTATAAGTGGGGAACCCTTTGGGAACCATAAAAAGCACAGTGATATAACAGCATTTCCAAAATCAACAATATTCTTCCTTTGTACGTTTTAATAGATTTTAGAAGAAAGTTATAAGTAAAAAATAAATACAAATGCAGCCAGCTATGATTTAGTCAATAAGCATAGTTAGACAAACCATATCTTAGAAAAGGAGTTCTCAAACACTGCTAGCATGACCTATTTAAATAAATGCATTTATGGAGTTTCCATAAATAAAACTACTGTAGTGGTTTTGTTGGGGTTAGGGTTGGGAAAGAAAGAAATAATGTGTATCACTTTTAATAATTACTTGCTAGCCTACTTATCACCAGAGTTCTCAAGTGTTTGGGTTTGTGCAGATACCGAATGAGTTTTGATACTAAAGCTCTGCCTTTGCAAGATGGACTAAATTTTTAAAAATTTGCAACCCCCCTCCTGCACTCACTCATGAGTCACAATACTCTCATAGCCCTTTATCTTGTTTATGGTGTAAGTAAGCTTTCTATATCCTATGGAACCTTCCCCAGACTCAAAAGGATAGCATTTTTAAGGCAAAGCATACTGTCCAGACTACCACATTTTTTCTTCATCAGCATTTTATTTAGGTTAATAATTTGTAAACAAATCATAAATTGAAGTAGAGGAACACAGCAATTTAATATATGGTCTAATTTTGAATGTAATTGTGTACCTAATACGACTTAGAATGTCACTATAAATGACAGAGCAGGGTTCATGTATTACAATCAGCCAGTTCTGCTTAACCAGTTTGTCTAAATCTAAAACAACTGACAAGAGGTAACATATTACACCAAGTTATAAACATTTCTGTCACGACTCCAAGATGACTCCCATGCTAGTTCTGTGGAGCCACAACAACGGAGTCCATGGTCTTACCATGCGGTGGTCTTGAGGCTGCTGTGGGATTGGTGTGCTTGCCGTGCTTGGACTAATCTCCTCTGTGGCTGTGATATCCGATTAACTTAATCGGCGTTTTCCCGATAGTGCAGGCAGGCAAGTGCAGATGGACATAGCTTGATGACATCAGCTGCTGACAAGATGCTGGCGGCGGAACATGGCTTATTGCACGGAACAAGACTCTCCATGGGGAAAGTGCTGGGTGCTGTGGGTGATGGATTGGTGTGGTTGGACAGATGGGAGCGCACGATATGGTGGGAAGGTGGGTTTTGTTGTTTAAGACTTCTGATAGGTCCAGAGCCTCCCCAGTCGATTTCAGGGAAGGAGTCAATAATCACCATATCAGAAACCAGCAATTTGTCTTATCCAGTTGTCTACCAGGATTTGGCAGAGGTATTTAGTGAAAAGGAGTGTGAGACTCTGCCACCCCACCACAAAACAGACTGTGTAATCAAGCTGATCCCGGGGACAAAACTCCCGAAGCCCCGAATGTATGTGATGACGCCAAAGGAAATGGAGGAGATACAGAACTATATGGACAAAAATTTGGCCCGAGGGTTTATACAACTCAGTCAGTCACATATAGCTGCTACTATATTATTTCAGGAGAAAAAGAATGGTGACTTACATTTATGTTTCGATTTCCGAGGACTGAATGCAGTGTGTGTGGACAATTTGTATCCCCTACCGCTGATCAGCGAGCTGTTGGCTACCAGGAGTTTTTTTTATGAAATTTGACTTATGTGAGGCACACTACTGGGTTTGTATACTACCAGGAGACGAATAGAAGACCATGTTCAACTGCCCACTCGGTAGTTTTTATTTTAAAGTTATGCCTTTCGGATTACAAGGTGCCCCTGCGGTATTTATACAGCTCATTAATGAAGTTTTGCACGTACATCTATACCGTGGGGTACTTGTGTATTTGGTGATATCTTGATCTATACACAAACTATGGCAGAACACGTACTAGTGCGGAGTGTGTTAAGCTCCATGCCAAATTATTCATAAAATTATCAAACTGCGAATTTCATTGCACAAAACTGGATTATTTAGGCTATAAGATATCCAACACGGGTTTGGAAATGGATCCTAATAAGGTGAAGGCAGTGTTGGACTGGGAATCCCCCAAAACATGAAAACAAGTACAAAGTTTTCTGGGCTTTGCTAACTTTTATTGACAGTTTATACACCAATTTGCCGGTATTGCTTTACCATTAACTGAATTGCTGAAAACCAAAGGTCAAGCACTGAAACCAAAACCTAGCCAACCGGTTAAGTGGCCCAAAAACTTTAGCAAGCATTTGACAATTTAAAAGCCTTGTTTTCTCAAGCCCCTGTCCTGCGACATCCGGATCCGCAGGGGAAGCACATCGTTCAGGCAGATGCTAGCGACGTAGCCGTGGGAGTTGTTTTACTACAGGATAATGAACAAGGGTTATTACAGCCATGCGCTTATACATCATGAAAGTTCACCACTACAGAGAGGGAAGGGGCCATTTGGGAAAAGGAGGCAAGTGCTATCAAATGGGCACTAACCACATGGAGACATCTGTTAGAAGGGGTAAAGAAAGAGTTTGAAGTATGGACTGATCATAAAAATCTGGAGGCATTGAAAAAACCGAGGTTGTCCCCCAAACAAGTGAGATGGGCTCTATACTTCAAACGTTTTAACTTTCAATTATGTTATGTACCGGGGGGAAAACCTTTATGGAAGATGCCTTGTCTCGGTTGCCACAGTATAATTCAAGTCAAGAGATCGTAGTTCAGCCCTTAATTGGCGAGACTTCACATGCAGACACAGGTCAAGTGATACGAGTAACGGACCTAAAACGAGACACGTTGCAGGAGGCTACTAAACAAGATGAATGGCTTGCTCAGAATGAGACTCTGGTTTTGTATAAGGATGGGTTGGCATGGAAGGGGGATAAAATGTACATGCCGACCCAGTGTAGATAATATATCTTTAAAAAATGTCATGATGTGAAACAGGCCGGACATTTCAGATTTTTGAAAACTCTGCATCTGACGAGGCATCAGTTTTGGTGGCCAAGAATGAGATCTGATATCAAGCGATATGTAAAACAATGCCATACCTATGCCACCTCGAAACCAAGAGGTGGGAAGCCGTTAGGACTATTGCAAACCATGTCAGAACCCCAGCATCCATTGGATGGATTTTATCCATGGATAAAATTGCCATGAATTTTATCGTGGAATTGCCGAGTAGCAAAGGCTACATAGTAATATGGACCGTAATAGACTTGTTTTCTAAACAAGCACATTTTGTTCCCTGTAAAGGTCTTCCTTCAGCAAGAAAATTAGCAAGTATGTTTCTTAAGCACATATATCGACGACATGGAACGCCTAGAAGGGTGATATCAGACAGGGGAGTACAGTTTACTGCACAGTTTTGGAGGCCATTCCTTACTCTGTTGGGTTCTTCTCAGGGGCTTAGTTCAGCATACCACCCTAGTACCAATGGGGCCACAGAAAGAGTGAATGCAATGGTGGAAAAATATTTAAGGTCGTACATATCGTATCAACAAGAATGGGCTGACTTACTTCCATTTGCTGAGACAGCCTACAATAACACAGTACATAGCAATGCGGGGTATAGCACATCCTATATAGTCAATGGTACTGATTTTGTACCAATACCAGAATTGAAATGTACGGATGATGAACCCGTTAGTGTTCAAGCGTGGTCAAAAAAGGTACAGGCATGTTGGCAGGATGTTCGGAAGGCATTAGAACAGACATCTAATGAATACAAAACACAAGCAAATAGAAAGAGGCAGGATCATAGACCGTTCCAAGTAGGGGATAGGGGATATTTATCTACAAAATACATCAAATTGAGATTAAATAACAGAAAGTTGGGACCCAAATATGTGGGGCCCTTTCCGATAATGAAATTTATTAACCCAATCACAGTAAAGCTGAGATGACCGTCGTTGTTGGGACATATCCGTCTGGTTTTCCACATAAGCCTACTGAAGCTTGTTGAATCAGAGGGTGACTAACAGGCAATGAGCTCTATACCGTTGACAAATGCAGACCAATTCGAAATAGACAAAATACTCAATTCCCGCATACGAAGAAATAACATGCAGTACTTAGTGCGCTGGAAAGGATACCCAGAAACAGACGCATCCTGGGTACATCATGTGGATATGTGTGCAGATAGACTATTATGACGCTTCCATACTAAATACCCCGATAAGCCTGGGTCCATGTTGTAACATTTGTCTATACATTATAACTTACTGTTATGTTATTTTGCAGGATAGATCCTGGTAGAGGGG